GTAATGTGGGCATTTATTTCTGAGCAATGTGTGAAAGAGAACACTGAGTAGCAGAATGTGAAGTTTAAAAGTAGCTAGGCAATGAGAAATATGGGCGCTATCTAGCAGGAGCTGGTAGGCAGGAAGCTCACCAGGGAGGCTAGGGCCCAGGCTGGCATCAGGAGGCACTGTGTATGGTGATAGGACCATCGAAAGTCTTCTTAGCCTCTGCCCTCCATACCTGCACCTGTATTTGATATCATGCCACCTCTCCTCTACATGTAGGCAAGGGACTCAGCTGCAAACCTTGATGACGCCCTTCAGCACTCCCAGCAAGCATGGTACAATATGGTTCTCTGCAAGCTCAGTGCCTATACTTGAGTTATATGGCTGTGGTTGACAAATGGAAAATGACTTTGTGACTGATGTGAGGGATGAGTGAAAATGGGTCTGGGAGAGGGGTGGGGACATGGGAAAAGTTATCTCTCCAGGCAGGGGCTGAAGAGAAGGAGGTATGTGGAGGGAAGGACACTGAGGGTCACTCCTCAGAGGAGCTAAAAGACCAAGTACAAGGTGACCCAGATGGGCAACCAGGTTAAAGGTGGTACACACAGGGAGGGCATGGCCTCGCCTGTTAGTCTGCTTGCTGTGCTGGGGCTTTTTAACTTAAATGACCCACTGAGCACAAGCTGCACTGGAGAGGTTTATAGAAAAGATGAGACATGAACTTGATACTGAAGGATGGCCAGGATCCTGTAGAGAAAAGAGGTGCAAGAAAAACATTCCAAGTTAGGGGACAGAGTAGATGAAGGCATAGAAACGGGAAGGTACACAGCCTTCAGATCATCTCAGCGGAAGTGAAGAAGTCTTGGGGTGAGGCTGGGGCTGCAAGGTAGATGATGATTTTGAAAACTAGTTTCCAGTTTGAGCACTGCTCTTTGGCCATGGGGCATCACGAATAGTCTTTCAGTAGCAATTTGGCTGACTGAACCCACACTCTCAGAGGGGGCACTCTGAAAGTGACCCTACAAGTGACTGAGGGGAACATTGTAGTCAAGAACATTGGCTATATTTTTACTATGTGTCGCAGGGAAGAAAAGAAAAGGTGAACCTGGAAACTAGGGAGTGAGGGACGGACCGAATTGCAAGGGGAGGGAGCTGGGGATGGTGCCAAGTCTCCAGCCTGATGCCAGAGCAGCACAAATATGCTGTTTCTTTACATAGCTGAGAGTGCAGATGGCCTTTAAGATGTGTGTATGTGTTAAAAAAACAAACCCAAGCATAGTGGTACACACCTGTAATCCTAGGGCTTAGGAGGCTGAGGTAAGAGAGTCACTGTAAGTCTGATGTCAGCTAGGACTACATAGCAAGCACCTGTTCCAGAGAACAAAATCGAAACAGAAAAACAGAAAAAGGAGCATGCACCTTCCTTGGAACTTAGCACGTAGGGAGAGCAGGGAGAGAAGCTATCTCAGGCTGGGAGTCAAAGCTAATCCATTTTGAGACCATTATTTTTAAGAAAACATCATTGAATACTGGGGCGATAGTTCAGTTGGTAAAATGCTTGACTTGCAAGCATGAGGACCTGAGTTCAAATTCCAGTCCTCACATAAAAAGCCACGTATGGTGGTACATGCTTGTAATCCCAGCACTGGGGAGGTGGTGACAGGCAGATACCAGAAGCTCACTGACCAGCTGACCTAGTCTAATAGACACTCTTTAAAAAAATTTTTTTTTGGTCTTTTTCAGACAGGGTCTCCCTGTAGCCCCAGCTGGCCTGGAACTTGCTATGCAGACCAGGCTGATTTCGAACTCACAGTGATCTGCCTGCCTCTGCCTCCCAAGTGCTAGGACTACAGGTGTGTGCCACCATGCCCCAGGTCTAATAGATGTTCTTATGGTAAAGAACTCAGGTCTCTAGTCAATAGCCATGTGAGTGAGCTGGGAACTAAATGTTCCCCCATCAAGTCCTGAGATGACTACACCTTGATCACAACTGAAGAATACCCCGAGCCAGAAGAACCAGCTGGTCACTCCCAGATTCATGACCCAGAGAATTATAAGAGCATAGGTATTTTGTTGTATTAGGCTACTAGGTGTGGGAAAACTTGTTACACAGCTACAGATAACTGATACCTGGAAGCTGTCTTGGTGTTTCAGAGCATTGACCTTGAAGTTGGATTGCATGGGTTCAAATCATGACTGTCATTTTAAACCACAGAGCCTCAAGTGAGTTGTTTAATTTTCTTTGCCTCAGTTCTTTCTTCTGTAAAGTGGGAGTAATAATAAGCCTGTGCAATAGGGCGATTGTGCAAATGCAAGGAGTTCAGGATCCTGTAGCACTCAGTATTAGCAGTTGTTATCATCTGATCCCTCATCACTGTCTGTCCTACCCTAATGCAAATCCCACCACAGTTTCTCTTCCCCACTCCAACCCTTGCTGGCCTCCCCTCTGCACTTTATACCCTTGTTCTTTATGCAAAACTTGGACTTGCTCTGAAGTTCTCAGATTTATGAACTCTTCAACTCTGGAGGATATCTGGAAGGCCCTGTAGAGCATTGGACATAGACTAAGAGGTGGAATTAAATAAAGCAAGCTGGTGACAAGAGGCAGCATCTTCTGTGAGTTTGTCAAGGCCAGGGTCAGCCATGGTGAAATTGTTGGATGCTGTGTGACCAGGGCCTAGCACTCTCCTGCCATAGAGAGCAAGTGCAAAGCCATCTTGTCCACTTGGATGGAGTAACTGGACAGGGTTCCAGTGAGACTATGAAAACACACATAACCAATGACAGGGAGCCTGGATGTCAGTTCTGGGTTGAACAATATGACACATGTGAGGGCTGGTCATGTGCTTGGTAACTAGGTGGAACTCGAAGCCAAAAGCTCCTTATGGAGCACTGAAGTGCTTGGCAATGATGCAACAGAGGCTCAATAGTGTGATGGGCAATGGGAGCTGGAAGCCGGAGGAAGGGGTTTCAGTGAGGAGTCCGACACCATCCCAGAATGTGTGGTGGTTCCATGGTCCTCACAGCTGTGCTCATTGCTTCCCTATGCCTGGTTCCTGTTTCCAGCCTGCTTCTCACTGGACAGCAGCTCTCTGGGCAGGCCTGCAAGAAGGTTGGCAGGAGGGGAGAACAGGAACCCTAATCATCAGAGAGAGAGAGATGTCAGCAGCTCCACCTCCTGCCAAGGGAGAAACTGCATCATCTCCTGTGCCTTGGGGCACTAGAGAAAGGTGAAGTGACAGAGACTTTGGGTCCTGTCCAATTGGGCTCTGGACAGATACCACATCTTTAGGGTGGGGTTTCTAAGGCCCTAACTGGCAAATTCATTGCAGTGCCCACCATGCAGTCAGAGTAACTTGCTCAGTAGCCTGTAGGGAAAAGTTGGCCTTTTATCCACCAGCATATATTTCCTGAGCATCAACTATGTGCTAAGACCCCACGGGGCCCCGAGGGATTGCACAAACCAAAACAGGGCTCCCGTGCCTGTGGTTCCCAGCATCTAGGGAAACAGATCTCTGCACAGGTGGTGTGGAGTCCTAAGATGAAGGGAAGTGACTGAGGGCACTGGATTCTTGTCTCAATGGCTAGGAGTGTCCCTGGGAATTAGTAGGTAGAAGTCAGAGACTATCTGCGGTTCACATACAGCATCTCATGGCAAAGAGTGACCTTGCTCAAAATGCCAGTCAACTAAGCCTATGGGAATTACTGGCTTAGTGGGAGAGTGAAGTTAATTTGCCAGCTAGCTAGCACCTTACCCAAGAGGTTATATCTTAACCTTATACGTATGCCCGTGTCTTAGTTACTCTTCTATGGCTGTGAACAAGTACCTGACAAGAGGCAACTTAAGGGAGGAAGGACTTATTCTGGCTCACATTTTGAGGGCAGAGTCTATTGTGGTGGAGAAGGCATGGCAGCAGGAGCACATGGCTACTTACTCACATCTCTGTAGACCAGGAAGCAAGACCAATGGGAAACTGGACACGACTGTAAACCTCAAAGCTTCTGATCCCCACTAGTGACCTACTTCCTCCAGCTGGGCCCTACCTCCTGAAGGTTCCACAAATGCCAAACAGTGCTGAACCAATAACACCCAGTAACCCTTCTGCTCTGCTGCCTACCTGTGGAGCCTCTTCTATGTCTCTTGGCCAGAGTAGGCCCTTGTAGGAAGGGCCATCTGTTCACACATCCACTGGGCCTGAGTGAGACTTTAGTACTCATGGTAGGTGACTGTACTTGGCTCTTCTCAAATCTGCCTTCAGTGGTGAAATTGGCCAAATTAGGAGTGTTTATACCATAGAAATCGGTACCAGCTACAAATCAAAGCTATTTTTACCTTCACTCCTCACCCCTCCCATTCTCCCAGAGCTCTAAAGAACACCAGGGTTTGCTCAGTGGAAACCTCTGCCTCAGTTAAGCCTCTTGTCCAGGTTGAATAGCCCGAGACTTGTAGCTTGTGGCTATCTCTGCCACCCTGTGTTAGGAAGTCTGCCCTTCAAAGGCTATGGTTGCCTAAGCTTCTATTAGCTGAACTCTAGGGGTCTGAGCAGCAGAAGGGAAGTCAGGGCCACCTTTGGGAGGTGTTGCTGTGAGTGTGGAGCTCACTGAACTGGCTTTTCCATCAGCTGCTGCAGCCATTGGGCTGGTTCTTTCCCTATATAGCAGCAGTCCAGAGGGGTAGCACAGGACCCAGCCTCTCAGAGCTGACCCTTCCACTTTCCAATTTGTAGCCTGAATAAGTATGAATAAAGGCATTACTTAAAGTAAGAGGGAAGGCAGAGGGCTGGCTCTCTCCTGCCTTATAGAGAGACAGACCCATGTTTCCTGTGCAGAGCGTCCACATGTGCCAGAGTTCTCCCATAGCAGGTCCCTATGTTTGCTCCATTTGACAGATAAGAAAACTGAGGTGCAAAGAGGAAGTGGTTGCCCCAAAACATATATGCAAGTGGGGGGGGGATGTGAGAGTTTCTTTGGGGCAGTCTACAAAGACCCCAAGCCTTGTTTTTCCATTCTTACAGGTCTAAGTACAGAGATCGACCCTGAACCAACATTGATTTCTGACACCTTGTGGGTGTCCACATCTTCCTGACTTCTTGGAGAAAGAAGGGATTTTCCCAGATGCCAATGAGAGACTGGTAGGATAGTGGGAAGTCCTGCTGTCCCTGTGTCCAGCCTTCAAGTTATATGCTGGGCCAGTGGTTTCCCTGAGGCTCACTAAAGCAATTGGAAAGGTCCCGAGGCCATAGGATTGCTGTGGATTCTGCTTGGACCATGTAAACTACCTGCCAAAGTGAGGCCAAGCATGATATGGGTACCAAGGCTTCTTTTGGCCATAGCTGATGCCTAGGTCTCTGTTCCTGCTTACAAGCCCATGATGCCCACTCCCATGTGGACAGCTAGCCCATATATTTCCCCATTCAGCTGATGGTGAGTGCTGTGCTATTTTAAGCCCACATGGAAGTATCTCTCTCTCTCTCTCTCTCTCTCTCTCTCTGTCTCTCTCTGTCTCTCTCTTTTTTATAAGGACCATCTGCAACCAGCCCCAGTCCAGATGATACAGTTGGAGCCTACCCACAGCATCCTCTCCGCCTTCAGACAGTTCCAGGAACCAGAGTGAGTCAGACCCAGCTGAAGCTGGTCTTGCTAACCTAAGTGATAGCCCAGGGGCCTGGTGCGGGGGACCACCTGCTCTCAGGGCAGGTGCTCTCCGCACAGGAAGGGACGTTCACTCTGAGCCTCTGAGGTACTCAGACCTGTCCTTCCAGCTGTGCCCCTTTCCCTTTGAAAGGGGCTGCAGTTAGTCACAAGTTCCAGTGCATTGGCTCCTTGTCAGGGCAGCTTGTCACAAAGCACTGATGGCTCACAGCTTGATCACATCCCTGCTGCCCCTAGAAGCCCTGAGGGGGGCAGTTGCAGAAAGAGTGAATGTCCTCAGGAAAGGGGATGCTAGAGGTGGAGTTCTGGGTGGCCATTTACCTAGGTCACTAGAAAGATGCCCATAAACACTTGCAGCTCAGCCTGTAACCCTGCCAGGCATCTGGGCATAGCTCATCAGGCCCCTCAGTGGGTCCCCAAGTCCTACTGGGGACTAAGCCTTTCTTGACCTTGAGTCCTGCCAGCTTGACTTCCTGGCCTGGAGTCTATCTGCTGCTCCTGTAGGGCCTTGCAGTTTATCTGTGGTCAGTTTTCTCACCCATTTCCTGCCAGCTGCTACTGGTTTTTCAGTCAACTCTGAGAGCCACAGTAATTGGGAAAGGGCACAGGCTGCTGGCCTGGTGATTCACTGACTGTGGCAGGCAGGACGTGAGGACTTGGGCATACCCTCTGAAGAGCACAGTGAGGTGCTTCCACCCAGCCTGGTCCCCTAGGCCTCTCTGAGTGGCATAGAAAAGACTATGGGGCACACACTCATGGTGAACTAAAATCTGGGGAGAGAGAGAGAGAGAGAGAGAGAGAGAGAGAGAGAGAGAGGAGAGGGGGAGAAAAAGGGGGAGAGAGAGGACGAGTAGAGAAAAAAAAGGGGGGGAGAGAGAGAGAGAGAGAGAGAGAGAGAGAGAGAGAGAGAGAGAGAGAAAGAGAGAAGGATTTTTTTTTAATGCACTGAGGCCAAAATAAATGGTTTCATGTGAGAAGCATGAGTGTGGGCCCCATTCACAGGGTCCCTGAGCTCTCTTTGAGGTATAATAGGGTGACTTTGCCATGCCTCTGATTAGGCTACAGTATCACATTGAACATTTTGTTTCTTGGCATTTCCAAAATTGACAAGGAGGAAATCCCCCCAGTGTAATGAATAAGTTCTCTTTTAATGTCATGAAATAGCTTTTCGGAGTTGCTCACATGCTGGCAATCACTGGCCAAGGGTGTCTCCCCATCCATAATCTTTTCTGCAGGGGTGGGGCCCTGTCTAGACAGCAGAGTCCCCAGGCGGGGTGGGACCTGGACCAGCTGGAGCAGAGTCACCTGGGAACTTGTGCAAGAGGTAAGATGTGGGGTGACTAGCTGCTGGAATTCCTGCCTTGACATCCCTGAATAATGGACTGTAACCTGGAATTGTAAGCCAGATAAACCTTTCCTCCTCATGCTGCTTCATGTTCAGGGTATTTTATCTCAGCAACAGACATGGAACTAGAACACTGAGTTTCTGAGAATAGCTTTAGTAAGAGTTTAGTAGGTGTCCCAGCTCTGAGAGTGGAAAGGCAGTAGCTTGAATTTGACCCTGAACTTCTCCAAGTCTCCGAGTTCTCCTCTGATAATGGGCTTAAGCATGCCAACATTCATGGTTGTAAGAGCTCAGAGATAATACATAAAAGGGCTTAGCGAGGTCTTTGGAAACTCATAAAGGTAATGATAATTACTGCATGGGGAGCAATAGGGATACTTTGAAGGATATGTAACTGATGCATGAGATACAGAAAACACTTTCTTTACACCTGCAAAAGCCTTGGACATTTAGGTTTGGACATGAGGTTCTTTGTTGTATGCAAGATGCAAGTACTATTAATATTTCATGGTGTTGTCATGCTTAAAATTTATCTGAGAAAATATCTGAAATATTAGCTCAGAATCTAATTGTTTTCTAAAGCAACATTCCTTTGAACTGAGAATAACATTGCACAGAAACACTTTATATCTTCATATTTTTCCCTCTTGAAAAGTTACAAGGCCCAGAATACAAGATCATTGTCTTTTGATGAATGTACCCTCAGGATGACTGATAAACACCCCACGGTGAATGAACAGGACCTGGCTGTGGAGTATTTGATAGCTTGTATTCTTGGACTGGTGAGGGGCCAAGTTCTGCTTCTTTTAAAAAATATTTTATTTATTATTTTTATTTTATGTGTATGAGTGTATTACCTGCATTATATGAGTGCAGCCGTGTCATGAAATGCCCACAGAGGTCGGAAGAGGCAAGCCTTACTTCTTATGGAGCAATTCTAAGCTGAACCAGGGTGAGCTGTATTTAAACATGGAACATCTTGGCAGAGGAACACAGTGGTCACAGGAAAGTATGCCCTAGGGGATGCTTCCAGAATGTCTTTGTAAGGCTCTGCCTTATATTTAGCTTCCCTTTAAATGCAGCCTCGGACCAGACATCCTTCATTCATCCCACACTCTGTGGGTACAATTTTCAGGTGCCTGTTTGCTGAGTACTTCTGTACTGTGGGAGAGACACCCTCAACCAGCGGCGGTGCCCAGGTGTGGTGACTGTGGGCTGGAGTTTGCATTCGCAGATGTTGGTTCTATAGAGTCGGTCCCAGAGCCACCAAGCAAGGCTCTTTCTAGTCCCAGATTTTACACAACCCCTCACTGAGCTATTTCTCACTGAACAATTCCACTCTGCTGGCTTTGGAAGGGGAGTGTGCCAGGCACCTGGAGGCACCCAGAAACCCATGTATGGAGTTGATGCAGGCCACCCAGGTGAATTTATAGGAAACTTGTATAGCTGTAACTCACATCAGATTGGTGTGGTCCAGGTGGGAGGCCATGGTGGGTGCTGCTATTCCTGGTGCAGGACTAACATTCTGTGATGCTGCCTCTGTCTTGGCTCTCTACCTTTACAATGTGGCAGAATCTAGATCTTTTGGTTCCACAAAAACGCTTGGGCCACTTTACTGTCCAGGACATGATATACCTGCTATGCCCAGGTTTCAGATGGCACCTTCCAATTTCCTCCTTGAGGTTTTCTGAGAAGTCAGTCACCTGGTGGTGTCTGCCAATGTGCTCTCGCTCTCTCTCTCTCTCTCTCTTTCTCTCTCTCTCTCTCTCTCTCTCGTGTGTGTGTGTGTGTGTGTGTGTGTGTGCCAGCCACAGTACAACCTGTTTTGTCATTTCTTTGGTTCTGCCCTCCTCTTTTTGATAAGATCTCTCACTGGCCTGGAACTCAGTAATTCAGTAATCAGGTTAGGCTGTCTGGACAGTAAGCCACAGAGATCTACCCTGTCTCGACCTACCAAGCACCAGGACTCTAAGGGCACTCTACCATGCTCAGCTTTTTTTTTAGATGTAAGTTTTGGGTATCAAACTTAGGTTCTTGGGCTTGGAAGGCAAGCTCTTTATCATCTGAACTGTCTCCCCAGAACTTGAATTCTCTTATTTATTAGAGGAAATGATCCCATCAGAAAGTCTCTTGTTGCCAGTGCCCCCTGATTTCTAGGTTAAGTATCACTGTGTCTTTTACAGCTCTGACTGTGCATTTGCACAGCCTTTTCAGCCCTCTTGCTGTGAATTGGATTCTGCAACTGCCCTGTACCAAGGCCACTTCTGTCACCTGCTTCCCATTCCAGATGCCTGAAGGCTGGGTGGAACAGCACAGAGTAGCTGGAAGTGGCCCAACACCAGGGCTGCTGTGAATGCTAGCCCTTTATGAATGCTCTTCCTTTTGGTTGGTGTGGAAACTCCTCTTCATTCTTCAGAACCCTGCTCCATGATAGTGCCTCCTTCTCCAGTTCCTTTAGTCTCTTCAGCATAGGCCATTTCCTCATCCATAGGCTGTATCGAGGTATGCTGATGCCTGAGACTTGTTCCTGGTCACATCTGGCAGGCCAAGTGGGGTGCTTCCCCTGTGGGGGAGCAGAACAAATCTTTCTCTACTCTTCTCACTACCAAATCCCTGTCCCTCCACAAGGAAGTCTGATTTCCTGTTCTAGAAACCCTGCAGGAAGCAAGCTGATGGTAGGGAGGCTGTCACAGAGCCTAGAGACACAGAGATGTCCTTTCTGACTAAAAGCAGGTTGGAGCTGACTGAGAAGGGTTGCGGGAAGGGCTCAGCACAGCCCCCTTTGAACAGAAGCCTGGGGACTCCTGCTTGTGGAGGGTGCTGGGGAAGGGTAGAGTCCCAGAAGACACTCTAGGCAAGCAGGGAAAGCCATAGGAACTGGGAGAGCAGGGATTACGTGGGCGTCTGGGATCTGTCAGGAGGCCAGGGATGGCATTGAGACTAGGGTTCCCCAGAAGGTCAGAGATGGTACAAAGGTCTGGGGTGTCCCATGAGGTCAGGGATGACATAAGGATCTTGAATTCCTCAGATCAGGGATCACACAAGAGTCTGGGGTTACTCAGAGAGGTCAAGGGTGACACAGGAGCCTGGGGTCCCTCAGGGAGGTCAGAGATTACATGGGGGAATGCCCAGAGAGGTCATGCTTTGATCTGGACTCTGTCCCTGGTGTGACCCATGACAGTCTTCTGACCCACTGGTTTCTGTTTCCTTCTCTGTTAGAACGAGGTTAAGGACATGTGCCTGCCTGGAAGAATCTGGGGACAAATGGGAAAATTTGGACACTATGTCTTGCTTGTTTTTCTCATTTGTCTTGGAAAATCTTAGCTGAAATGTACCTGGGGGTATCACTGGAAGGGAAAGTTGCTCTGAGTCCAGGAGGGGCTGGGATAGCCATGGACTCCCATGTGGCTGTGGCCATAGGGCTGTGGGTAGCTATTGCCTCTGCAATCCCATAAACAGGCCTAGAGAAGAGGAGTTGTGGTCCAGAGACACACCTTTAGCTCTCATCAGCCTGATGATACTCTTCATGGATGATCTTTTTTATAGATGACCCAAGGTACTCTGAATTCTAGGGCTGAGTCAGCCCTCACCTCCTCTTTGTCAGTTGGACTGA